TTTCTCAACCATGTTCCTAGAGGACCACCAGCTCTGCACATTTTTCATGTCGCATTAATCAAACACACCTGAATCAGATCATCAGCTCATTAGCAGAGACTGAAAGACGTATAATGGGTGAGACAGACAAAGGAGGTATCCAAAACATGTAGTGTCGGTGGTCCTCCAGGAACGTGGTTGAGACACACTGACATAAGGGATCTCCTGGAAAACATAAGTAATTACTCCTATGAGTCTCATTTGTGGAATTTCTGTATGTTAGTAATGATTTTACATGTTGGAGTTTAGTACCTTGAAATGGCTCTGTATTATTATCCTTCATATTACTATTACGCAGACCTGATAAACACAATGACAATATTTAATTTTTAAAAATATAATAACGTCACAGCAGGCCTGATTTGTCTTTAAATGTATATTTCTCTTCACAGACTCCTCAGTAATGGTCAGACTGGTCAAAATTACTTTGAATGATTGATTATCAACACATTTGTATGTTTTTCATGTCATTTAACGCTTCACAAATGAATACGATTTGGCTTTTTCAAAGTGTTTAATGATTTTGGGCATAACCAGAGCTAAATGAATTAGTTTCACATATGTAGTAGTGCATTATCACTTGTTCTAATCTATTTTTGACAGATTATGCTGAAACTGAGTACTTTTGTACACTTGTGTTGATGTCTGAAAGCAAAATCAAATTGCTTAGACCAGTGTTTCTCAACCTAGTTCCTGGAGGACCACCAACACTGCATGTTTTGGATGTCTCCTTTGTCTAACCCATTACAGAACTTTTAGTCTCTGCTAATGAGCTGATGATCTGAATCAGGTGTGTTTGGTTAAGGAGACATGGAAAATTTGCAGACCTGGTGGTCCTTCAGGAATGTGGTTGAGAAATACAAATTTCAATAAACTTACATGGAATGAGCAGGAGTTGTCTATGCCATTGAGAGGAATTTCACTTCATTGGCACACAGTTTCTATATGGATCTTGTTATCCACTTGCACATGAAATATAATAGGATAATCAATCGCATCCAGGGATTCAGTTCATTTCAAAATCAATAACTAGTAATAAAGCATCCAGCCATCTAAACAACAGTATTTCAACACAATTCATCCATTATTCTGTCTTTGGTCTCAGAAATGCTCTGATTTTCATGAGGAGAGATCTTCTTTTTTCGCCTCTTGATTGCGAGAGATCAGAGCCGCTGGTGATTATTGTTAGTTAATGGCCGGACAGAGAACCAAAACCTGGAGTGCCTCTTGAGCAGGAACCCCATCAGATATGCATGCTCACAACCTGTTCATTCTCAAGTATGTGGTTCAGTTCAGCTGCTTGAAATCACTCGACGGCTTCCTCTTTTCTAGTGTCATTTCAATGACATAATGGATGCTAAATGAATAGTTCTATCAGTAATCATGACTGAGTTTCATCTAAAAATGTGAACCTGGTTATTGTTTTGTCTTGCAAAGTAGCTAGAGTGTCAGTGTCTTTTATCAAAATGCCAGAATATCAATGAACTAAATGTCTCTCTTTATATTCATTCATTTATTTTATTTTCGGCTTTGTCCTTTTATTAATCTGGGGTTTCCACAGTGGAATGAACCGCCAATTTATCCAGCATAAGTTATACACAGCGCATGCCCTTCCAGCTGCAACCTGTCACTATGAAACACCCATACACTTCTATTCACACACTACTGACAATTTAGCTCATTCAATTCACCTATACCGCATGTGTTTGGACGTGCCGGAGGAAACCCACACCAACACAGGGAAAACATGCAAACTCCAACGCCAACTGACCCAGCCAAGGCTCGAACTAGCAACCTTCTTGCTTTGAGGCAAGATCGTAACCCACTGCTCCACTGTGCTGCCCTCTCTCTGTATTATTAACAAAAAAATAATGATGTATACTGTTATTCAGGGTAACAATGGTAACCAAAATCATTTGATAACATATTAAAGAATTTTAATTTGTACATGTCCGAATATGCTTTTTTGTAACACTTGTTACACTGAATGGCAATGGAACATTATTTAATCCATTTTATGGCATTTTGTTTCCATAAATTTTATTTGAATAATAAAAAGAGGAAAATAAAGAAATAAATAAATTATGTACAATCAACTCAAAATAGTTAGCTCTTCTGTGAAATTTAAATATCAAGGTACTAGTATTCTACATTCTACGCTTCCACAAACCCTAATCACCAGTTTATTCACTTCTAAACTATTCGTAGTGCATATTTAACTACACGTATACGACATATCACAGGTTTATTTTCACATCCTTATTGTAAGTTCTGCGAATTTTTATTTGCTTAATACGCACAAGAGAGCAATAGGCAAATATCTTTACATATAAATAAATGTAAATATTAAGGATATATATAGTATATAATAAGAATAGATATAGAATATAAATATAAAGGATTAAAATATTACAAAACATATTATTTTCTAGCCTACATAAATATGAAAAACCACTTCTTTTATGTCTTCTTCATCTCGGGAGGCTTTTTCAGTTCATTCATAACAATTTGCTTTTGTATAATGTTATTATTATTAGCAGTATTATTTATTATATCCATATTTATTTATTTTTTTATTAAAAACAAGCTTAGATTTGCCTACCTGCAGGTTTTAGACCGTATGGGGCAAAGCATGTGTTTTAGGATATAACTCAGGTTTTTGACCACATTTTGTTATTATTGTTCATTTATTCGTTTGCTGGAAATTAGAATTATTTATAGACTAATTGATGTCTGTGCGTAAAGGTTTCCCTATCCAAGAGCGAAAGTGAAAGTGATCCATTATCTCTCATTCTCACGCAGTAGATGCTCTGTTTAACAGTTTTCTGTTAAAAAACTGTTAACTGTTTGCTTGTGAAATGCTCATTTTTTCCACTTAGACTTAGTTTGCGTCCTGTAAATAGCGAATGCACTCTAGGCGCGACGCAGCTGACTCTTAAAGGGAATGGGAGATGAGACTCTAATTGGTTTATTTTTAAAACACACCCATAACTCATTAAGAAAATAAACTCAACCCTTTTAGAACATGCACCGCGGCGCAAGGCAGATTTCCCGTCCTTAAATTAGCAAAAACGCGTCCTGACACGCCCTGAAAGCGTTTGCGCCCTGCGTTTTGCGCTCTAAATAGACCGTCAAAATAGAGCCCTGAATGTCTGGAGGTGCAAAAACTTTGGGATTCTGTGCTGGAAATTTAAATTAAAGTTACAAAAATGTATTTCCCCAAAGATCCAGTATTGTTAATGTTGAATGATACCTCTCAAATTCCCTTAAATGCAAAGGTCTGTAAATTTTGGTTAACTGCTTCAACTTTTACAAAGAAAATGTTGGTACAGAGGTGGAAACCCCTCAGGATCTCTCTGTTAATCACTAGTTGCATTCACTATTGGAAATACTGTAAGTAAAACTGTCATCTGCACAGATCAAACAAGCTAAACTGGACATTTTGACAATGTCAAAAATCTATATATGCAACATCAAATAAATCTTGGACGCTTAACACTCATCTGATACTAGACAAATGTCAAATTTAATGTAATTTCTAAACTACAGTTATCCTGTGATTCCTGATGTGCATGTAATAGGATGAGGAGATGGGGGATATATATGGGGTAATAGCTGTTAAAAATATTTCTCTATCTGATTGCAAAATGCAAAATACTAGTATTCGGCTTAAATGTCATATAAATTCAGCTTAAAGCTTAAGTAGGTTATTAGGGCAAGCTAGTGCATAACAGTGGTTTGGTCTAACTCTTTAGTGGAAAAGTTGGAAAATAATATTGACTTTAAAATATAGTTTTAAAAAATAGAAACTGCTTTTATTCCAACAAAACTAAAATGTTGTAAACATTTCTGTCTAAGAAACTTTAATATACACAAATATACATACATCCAACTTAAATGTCTAACACTCATTGTAAAAAATGGAGGTTTTCACACAATCCCTTCATGTTGTTCCAACACAAATCAATTAGATGACAAATATAAGTTGATTGAACACACAACAACTAAGTTGTCCCAAAAAACACTCAAGAATTGTGTTGATTTAGCTCATATTAAATAAGTAGTTTGAAAAAGTAGCAAAAATATCATATAAATATTGTATCTAGTTTAATATCTCCACAGCATCCAAATTAGTCATGTCATATTCTTCTGTAAAACAATGCCCATATCAAGGCGCACAAGGAATCTGCACACACAAAAATCTGCAGATTTTCATAGATTTTTAGCCCATCATTGGGTCTATATTTATTTATTTGTGTAATTGAGTATAAATTTAGATTTAATAATTAATTTCAGTAATATTATTGACAAATATGAAAAATTTCATATGATTTATTTACAACTCAATTTGTAAAGTAATAATTTTTTTTTAGTTTTTTTAGTAGAGGTGTTATATAAGAGACTTGCTTTGTTTACCAATTATGTGGATCTAATTAGATTTGCATTGTAAATAAGACATAAAAAGGTATTAAATTTATTTAATTTATTAAGTTTTTAGTTACGATACTCCCAAAATCATTCCACATAAATCCAGAGATTTTTTTTTTAATTCTCCGCAGAAATAACAAAAAATGTCAGTAGATTCTGTCTTATAGACACACGCTTATAGAGCCAAACATTCCACACGAATTCCAGCGTGAATCTTAATTACATTAAGCCTGTTAATTTGTCTTTGCTGAGAGGGAGGCAGGTGCCAAAGATCATGTGCAGTGCTGGTGTCAAATACCACGCATGGCGGCATTAGTCTGGCATGGCATTGTTTAGCCCTCGGTACCTTTGTAGTATAAAGTTTTAATACTTTTGATGCTGCATATGGACAGAATGGCATTTGGGCCACCACATATTTCTATAATGCTTTGAAATGAGATTTTTTAATTTAATGCTTGCCTGTGCAACATGATGCTGGAGTGCAAATTCTTGTCATTTATACACATTCTCCTGTCTATTTGTCCTCCTCACAGACGCCTCTGCCAGACGCTGTGGATACACAAGACACCATCAAACAGGTATGAAGGGCTTTGGTTTATTGTACATGTCGACAAGCCTTAAAGGGATAGTTGTTTGATGAAAATTTTAATATTATATAATTTACTTTCACTATCATTTACTATCATTATGTTGTTTAAAGCGGCAAGACAATCTTCTGTGGAATACAAAAGGGGACATTTTAAACCATTTATAGTAGTTTTGCTTTGTGTTTCATGCATTTACAATAAATGGAAATCAAGAACTGAAGAAAAGCAAAAAGCAGAGGAAAAACTCCTTATCAGCTCACTCACTATGATTCAAGACTCAATAAATAATTCTAAGAGGATGAGAGCAAAATCAAAATTTATATTATATTATATTATATTATATTATATTATATTATATTATATTATATTATATTATATTATATTATACTATATTATATTATATTATATTATACTATATTATATTATATTATATTATATTATATTATATTATATTATATTATATTATACTATATTATATTATATTATATTATATTATATTATATTATATTATATTATACTATATTATATTATATTATATTATATTATATTATATTATATTATATTATATTATATTATATTAAACTATATTATATTATATTATATTATATTATACTATATTATATTATATTATATTATATTATATTATATTATATTATACTATATGATATTATATTATATTATATTATATTATATTATATTATATTATATTATATTATATTATATTATACTATATTATATTATATTATATTATATTATATTATATTATACTATATTATATTATATTATATTATACTATATTATATTATATTATATTATACTATATTATATTATATTATATTATATTATATTATATTATATTATATTATATTATATTATATTAAACTATATTATATTATATTATACTATATTATATTATATTATATTATATTATATTATATTATACTATATGATATTATATTATATTATATAATATTATATTATATTATATTATATTATATTATACTATACTATATTATATTATATTATATTATATTATATTATATTATACTATATTATATTATATTATATTATACTATATTATATTATATTATATTATATTAAACTATATTATATTATATTATATTATATTATACTATATTATATTATATTATATTATACTATATTATATTATATTATATTATATTATATTATACTATATTATATTATATTATATTATATTATATTATATTATATTATATTAAACTATATTATATTATATTATACTATATTATATTATATTATATTATATTATATTATATTATACTATATGATATTATATTATATTATATAATATTATATTATATTATATTATATTATATTATATTATACTATATTATATTATATTATACTATATTATATTATATTATATTATATTATATTATATTATATTATATTATACTATATTATATTATATTATATTATATTATACTATATTATATTATATTATATTATATTATATTATATTATATTATATTATATTATATTATATTATATTATACAACAGTTCTGTCTGGTTCTGAATCTAATTGGCTGATAGCTGTGTGGTATTCTGCCAGTAACAGCACTCGTCCAGCCTCTTAACCCTTCGCCCTTGTGTTTTACTCCGCTCACATACAGCCACAAGCAAAAAACTCTACAGTTTGACATATTGCTGCTGTTGGACAACATTAGGTACTTTTGAGGCTATTTTAGTCGAGAATCTAGTTGTTTAGATTGAACTATGCAGATTATTTATAAGGTGCCTATTTTAAAATATTTATAATTTCTGAGAGAAAGCGCTTCGTCGGCCATTAGCCTGTCTTTGAGCAGACCAAAGACGTTGTCCATCCACAAGATAGCGACAGAGGCTGCATAATAAGCCCTTAAAGAATAAAACTGTGTAATTTCTAACTACAGCTGATCAAATCATTATTATGCTGGTAAGTAATATTCTAAGTCGATCTCTCTCTTTTGTATGTTGTAGTGCTGTATTTATACCACATTACTTTGGTGTATTGAGTGTAAGATGGGACTCACGTATCAGGAATGTGTGTTGTGTTGGCAGAAAGAAAGAAGAAATACCTGCATGTGTTTAGTGTTTTCCCTCATCAAAAACACAACAGCAATCTGGTAGCGATTGTGTTGCTTTTTTCGGGGTTAATTATTGTGCTATCTCGATTGCAACAGAGAAATACTACAGACTGTAATAGGCTGTAATACTGTAAGGAGATCTCTGTAAACGGATGGTATTTCATGTCACCTTCTGCCTTATAACCTTAAAATGTCAGCAAAATCACCTGTTTTGTCATCACTTTAGACATTACGCTAGAGAAGCATTCAAACACTAGCTCTAAAGTGACGTTGGTGATTTAGTAACGTCTTCTGCTGTTCTGGCATCAGCTGCAGATGTGAATGTACGTTGGAAGAAAGTAGTTCCTCATACAAAGGGTTTTAAGACTCCCCGTGTATGATTTTCTTTTTTATATACATGGTTATGCCGTTGAACTGTTGTAAAAACACAATATCATACTCAAAGCAGAGCGATGTAGCTGTACATTAACACTGGTGGGACACTAACGCACGCCTCCCACCAGTGCTGATATACAGGCATATCGCACTGCTACAAGTATGATATTGCTTATATATAAAGTGGGGAAAGGTTCTGAATACTTAGGACCATGTGAAATTTCAGTTTTTCTTTTTTAATAAATCTGCAAAAATGTCAACAGCTCTGGGTTTTTCTGTCAATATGGGGTGCCGTGTGTACACTAATGAAGAAAACAATGAACTTAAATGATTTTAGCAAATGGCTGCATTATAACAAAGAGTGAAAAAAAATTCATGGGGTCTGAATACTGAAGTACTCACTGTATATAGTAAAACCATCGCTTTAAATGAGTTTTTGCAGTTACACTACTTTAAGTCACATTTACTAAACTGTACTTACATCAAAAAAATAAGTACAATGTACTTATTGTGTTAATATTGTATTGCCAAATACTTTTTTAAGCTGGATAATGGTTAATACAGGTGGGGTTAGAAATAGGTTTGGTGGTACGGTTAATATGTAAGACATGATCAACTGTGTATTTATAAATGTAATCACAAAAATTAACTACAGATGTAATTACATGCAAAACAATGATTAAATAAGTACAATGTATACATAATGTAGAGCATTGTACCAAATTATTAATCGAAATGTACATACATTGACTACTATGTGACTTAAAATAAAGTGTAACTGTTTTTGCTAATAGGGATGTGTGGCATATTCTCTTTGACAGATAGCAAGCTTTTATCTTCACACTTCTGACCTTTCTATGTTTATAACTCATGCTCAAAGAGATTAGCATATAGAAGGTGGCAGTCTGTTCAGAATTATTAAAGGAGCTATATGAAGAAATGCTAAGAGAACTACAGCCAACAACTGCTCATGCTTGCACTCATGCACATAATATACAAGATACTAAACAGTCTCAAAACATCTGATAATAATGATTTGGATATTGTTGCAGAATCTCTGTTCACTGTAAAGAAAAAGATGTTAAATAACCGTTTTCATAAATAACCTAAATAATTACTCGGTAATTAGCCTGTAAAATGAAAAATTACTGGCAGGTTTATTACCAGGTTTTTGTATTATTATTTACAACACCAATCCAGACGATATCTCACTTTAAAATATTAAAACTTTAAAATAATAAAACTTTTTAACATTAAAAGTTGTTGTAGGAAAAAAAACAACAACACAAGAATCACAAACGAAAGAAACAATTTTATAATGCAATTTACTGGTTTTATGTTGACTGATGATGTTATTAAAATTACACTTACATGATTGCTTGATTGTAAATTTGAGACTGCTGACTATATTGACCAGGGCTGGGTTTCCCAATACTAAAAGCATACTGGACATGCATTTTGTCACAGCTCCACATGCATTTCCCAAAAAGGCACGTAATATATTCACGCAATCAATATAAAGCAGCTATACACGCAGACTACACACAAAACGGCTGACAAAGGTTAAAGAACATAAGGTTATTAATATGAAATGCTTTGATACTGATATGACAATATATACAAATTACATAAAAATTATTTCATATATGCAACATATATTTAAAAATATTACAAAAATTGGCATTTACATTTTTTTTCAACCATTTTAATTACAAGCATAGGCTTTATATATGTTCTGAAATATTGGCCACAATTTCTATGTATAAAATCCTCACCCAGGGGTCACATTCCTCCAGGAATGAGGCCACAATACACACATTAAACAGATTCATTTAAAATTCATTTTTCTATTGTTGTTTTTCGTAAACAACAATAATTACTCCCATTACAATAATTAAAACACAGGTCTGTTATTGCGCTAGTGTCATTTTCAGTGAATTCCAAATGCAATCTTAATGTTCTGATCATTTTATTGCAAACATAAATGTTCCTAAACTCAATTTCAAAGTACAGTAGTGTTATTGCATGCATATTTCACTGCTATGTTGCAGCTACTTCACTGTCCAAGACAGTTCTAGTACTACAGTGTTACTTCTCTCTGCTCATATAATAGATGTCCCTTTAGAATCATGTGAGCCCCCGAGGGAGGAAGCCACTCTAAATATGTTGCTTAACTGGCTTTGCCTATCTCCAGTGTACAGTACATCTTCAAAATATGTTTTTAAAAGTAGCTCAGTAGCTTTATATTAGCTTAACGAAGTACAAATTAGGGCTGCACAATATATCGTTTCAGCATTGATATTGCAATGTGCACATCAGCAGTAATCACATTGCAAGATATCAAGATATGCAATGTTGAGTAAGAATTAGGGCTGAAAAATCTGACATTACAATATTTTGAAGAAAAAAAAAAAAAAAAAAAAAAATATATATATATATATATATATATACAAATATACAAATTTTGATTGTTTGGGTCGGTAAGGTGTGATTTATGTATTTAAAAA